GGGGCTGGCGCAGAGGTACGGGGCGGGTGGAAGGGGCAGGGTAAGTTGCTGTAGCCCCAGCAAATTCCTACACTCAAAACTTAAATGTAAGGTAGCATCTAGAAAAATCCGTTAAAAGGGCATAACAGCATGAGCATGGAAGCAGTTTTGATTTTATATTTCCTTTTTTTTTTCTCCTTCCCCTCCGAGGCAGGTTCAGTTTTCTGCCCATGAAACATTTAGCTGATGGTAATGCAAAAAGACTGCACCACCATCCGTAAACCAGCCTCCAACTCTGTGCATAAAAAAAAACCTCCTCCAGACTCTATGCATAAAGCAGCAGCCTCCTCCGCTACACCTTTTATATAAAGTGCATGTGAATAGATCTCGGGAAGACTTTCTTTTTTAATCAACACCGAGTCAAACTGACAAGGCCGACGAGCAGAGCATCAGAAGGGGGTAAAGGCTTCCACCAGGCAAAATATATCTATATTTTAAAAGCTGTTGCATAAGTTCCAAGGAAAATAAGCCTTTAGCATACTGCAGCTGTTAAAATAAGCACCCACAGCTAGGTTTTCTCTCTTCTCCCTCTAAAATGTTTTTTAAGGGCCTGGTAAAACAGCTAGAATAACAGCTCCATGGAACCTAGCACAGCAAGGGGGTTTTAGTCATTTTTAGTTAATAACACTTCTTTTATTCAAGGACTTAAATGGAAGAAACCCACTTCCATTGCCATTGCATCAGAAGCCGTAGGACTGCTGGGGAATATTGTCTCTTGAGGCAAGGGATGAGTCAGAGCAGTTTTAATGCATCTGCTCCTGAATACAGTTTTTTTGTTTTTTTTTTTCTTCAGGTCCAAGATGCTCTTGTGATATTTGACTTGAGGATCATTATAAGGCAAACATGCGTAAGACCCTGTGTGCACTGCATCCTCCTGCAGCTGGCCAGCATTCAGAACTGCTAAAATGACAAAAGCAATAACGTGGTTCAAGCACTTCAAGCAGTAGATACAACACCAAGCTACATCTAAAAATATTTTCATAGGATCTTTTAGCAACCCTGTTCATTACTCAATTAGAAATTCATAAAGAATTTGAAACAATATATTGGTATCCCTTACAGAGAAGTACACTGTGCTTATGTCACTCATAAAAAATATGTACTTACATTGCCCCCAAAACGTAACAAGCCTCACATAGTTGTAAGCATGAAAGAAGAAAGCTATTGTGTCCTGTATAAGATCAAATCATGTTCCTTGTGTTTTGGAACAGGCAGACAATTGTTCATAACAGACAGCACCAATTACTATCTTGGATCAGTAAAACTCCAACAAAACCGTAAATATGCAAGATGTAATTAAGAAACAGCTGCAAAAAAGAATAACAAAATGACATTTCCAGCATTCTAAAAGGATCAGCAGTAATGCTCGTCTAAGGAATTGCTTCCTTGGGTTACAAAATAGATGCATTATTATAAATTAATTTTACCAGACAATTTTAAATTTTAGCAACTTCCTATGGTTTTAGGGTTTCAAGGTCTGAATTCTTAAGTATGTATTTCCTATCTTTTCTTGGAGAATCCAAACCCTGTATCAAAAGTGAAATCAGACTCTCAGATGCTCCACAATTTCTACAGCTCCAAACTGTAAAGTCTCTAGTACTTACAAAATGGATTTGGCAAAAACAAACAAACAAAAATATAGAAAATATAATTCTAATTTGCAAGATTTTTTTTTCTGAAAACAGAATTGACTTTTAGAACTTGGAAGTCAATTTTCACATCTTGGAGGCCATTAGAGTAGCTCAAGGGCAGTTCACCCATAAATTAAACACAATTTTCCCTCCACCATCTTCTCCCTACTACCTACATTCTGTATTCAAAAGAACCACAGATTTTTGTTCACTTCCATCTTTAATAGCTACAGAAAACACACACACACAAACTGCATCAGCTTCAGGTTAAAAATCAAACTTACTATTAAATATATTTCTAGAATAATTCACCACTAGTAGAAAAGTATTACAGTACTCGACACATAAAATACCATTAACACCCATAAAGAAGAAATCCCTAAGAAAGTCATTCTAAAAGTATTAAGTACTTCATCTTAGGCAACCCAAACATACAGTTTCTACCTCAAATAGCAGCAGAATATCAGCATTGTAGAAAACAACAAAACACACACATTTTCCCCATTTTTTATTTAATAAAAAGGATTATTAGCTCCCATCCACACGATGGATAAGGAACACAGAATTTCTGTAACTTCAGGAACTCTGCTCTTCCCTCATAAAGTTATTATACATGCAAACTTTTTACATTAGGGTATCTATCTTTCTCAAATTAAGTACATTGCCTCTTGGAGCAAAGATACATTCAACAGAGGTGACAGTCACACATTTAGGTCAAATACCTTTACCAAACGCTGTAGCTTTAAGATGTTGTTGCAACATATACGTAAAACAGTTATAAAAACTAGACATTAAATACAAAAATAAAGTTTTACCAGTAAGTTTCTGAGATTGATTATTGTCTTAAGACTTCATAAGGCCTTGAGGTATTTCCACTTTCATGAACAGAAACACACTGAGCAAAATTTCAATCCAGGAGAGTCTTTAGACTCTGAGGCCTAACAGAGAAGGAAATCATAATACTGTATTTAAAGTATCTTCTACATGTTTAAATACTTGAAGGAAAAAGCTTCTTTTCCATAATTTACTGTACAAAACCTTATACAAGTCTAAAAACAAAGGATAACTTCCCATTATTTTCCACAAATTTAAAAGTTACTGATGTTCTGCCCAACATTAAAACTTGAGGAAATAAATGTTAACACACTGATCGAATACCCTCTCACCTTCCCTCTAAATAAACATAATTTTATCTTGTCCCTCCATATAAACAGGAAGCCGGGTCTGAAAGCGCCGACATCCCGGGAAGAAGAAACATGAACTGATTTATGACCTCCAAAAGGAAGGTTGCAGAGAGCCCTTTGGTAACGGAATTTCCTTCTGCTGAAGACATTTCTGGCCAGACAGGGACAGGAAAAAAAAGAAAAGAAAAAGAAAAATGCATCTTAGAAGTTGCATTAGCAATTTCAAACAATATGAAATTATGTTAGAAATCTCTGTACCCACCAACATGGAAACACTGAAATGCAAGTGTACAGGCTTTTTTTTTTTTTTTTCTTTCTTAAATATTTTTGAGACCTACGTAGAATACAGTGCTAAAGAGAGGCTACAAAGAGCAGTTGAAAATGCCTGCTTCCTTTTACACCTAGCCAGAGAGCACAAAAACAAGCATCATTTTCTGACCAAAGTGAGCTGTTACAGAAATGACTCAGCAGAATCCTTCTCCTCTTTGTCTCCTCTCACTGCAACCAGCTTGCACTGAGAAAATTACACAAGAGTGTAGAAAGAGATGTAGGAGATGAAGGATATAATAATTGCCATCAAGATTAAGTGAACTTAACCAGAAGCCATTAAAAAAAAGGTTACATCACATTCACAGGTCTGGACTCTCAGGTATGCTGCAAGCAGTATTGGCCTCATTAGTGAAATGATGCAGATGCCGAAGAGAAGAGAAAAAAAAAAAAAAGAAAAGCTTGGAAGATTTTTTAAAAGTCCCTTTACCTCCAAGAACTGCTTGAAACGCATTAAAGAGCCCATTTGTCCAGAGCTGGTAATTGCTTCAATCCTGCAAAAAGATCAACATGTTCCAAAAGGTACTTAAAAACTGAGGTTTGACTTACAAGGGTGGGTAGGAGGGATAGCAGAGCCTGTGGAAAGCAGAAGAGACATGGAAGAGCAAATAGAGTAAGAAAGAAAAAGATTATTTACTCTCTTAACAACATACCTTGGGAAATAGTCTTCTCGGATAAGCAACATCATTTTCCAAAACTGGACCTGATACTGTTTCATGAGGGCATTGCCACACACCTATGGGACAGAAATCCACAACCACCAGATCCAGAACAGCTCTCAGACCAGCAAGACAACTTCCACAGAGCTGTCCAATGGCAACCACCTAGGTTTTAAAATGCTTGGTAAAATTAAAAAAAGACACTATTCCTACCATAAAGCAAGCCTAGCCTGTAACTTACACTATTATCAACACAGTGGCCTTCTCTTTTTAATGACCCCACAAAGGTCAATGACACCAATTTTGCATTACTTTTCCTCTCAACTCCAGCCTCCATTCAAAAACAAGTCTTCCTTAACACCATTTGCTAGCACATACTGTGGTTGTTTCCCCATCTTGACCACTGCAATATGGATTCATTCACTTTCTCCACACAGTCAGTGTACAGGAAAATTTACAAGTTCAATTTAGACTACTTCAGATTTCATTTCCCCATGTGTATTTCCCCCCGCCACCCTGTTTTTTTTGCACCCACTTTTCAATGTTTGGCAGCTGCTAAGCAGGCTCATCCTAGGACATCATTTACCTCTAGAAAATCAAAGAGAAGCGTAGCTGTCACATCTGCCAGAGGCTCCATGTTCAACATCTGAGCAAGCCACCGCCATCCATGGTTCAAACCATGAGGATGGGTCTATAAAGCAACAAAAATCCATCTCTAACTTGTTTTATAAGCTGCGAAATGCTATTATCAAAACAGAAAAAAATCCTTTTTTTTCTTTTATAAAGTTATTTCACAATAGCCTTACATAAAATTTGATTATTATGAAAAATATAAAAGAAGGAAGGTCTACGCTACAAATTAGTTAGCTTTTTGCATTGCTTTATTGGTAATGGTTACATTCATCCCCCTTCGGGTATACTGTCAGCAGGTTTAAATTTACCACACTTGAACTGCAAGTCATGGTTACAATACATTTAATAGAAATGAAGCCACACATATACATACCCCTTGTCTGTTTCCATAAGGCCACCGCAGTTGAATGATAGCAGCATATAGACGAATCATTCCTGACATCCGTTTAAGGAAGTTATCTTGCTGTTCTATCTTGGAATCCTTAACTTGATATCCAAGCATCCTAGGTATTAAAAAAATGTCCCAATATTAGTAAAGCAAAACACATTTGCTCCTGTCCCTAAAGTTCTCAACTTACATTAAGTCAATCATACTGAGAATAAGAATTCTCCAGAACCATGCAAGAAGTATTGCAAGGGCTGATCACTGTGGCTCACACATTCCTCTCTTTTATACCACACCAGAATCTTGAGATTCTCTACTAGGCACTTCAACTTGAATTAAGTTATTTCTATGGGTATCAACTGTTCTTTGAGAGGGATAAGGAAGATAAAACAAAAGAGCATCCATTACCCCTAAAACCACTTCCATAGCTGAAGGACACAGCATCCTCCAAGGGTGCAGGGTCAGGGGAGCTGCACTCTTGTGAGTAAATCTCCAGTCTATGCCAGCATGTCACTGTGCCTAAGTAATTAAAGATGGGGAAAAGTGGAGTTCACTCAGGAGAAGACAGTCTTTGCCCTTGCAGAGTTCATATTAAAGGACTCTCTAAAGAAAGTTACCTCTGATAATCTTCCAAAGAAGTCCCATCTTTTAATGCAGGATAAAATGGCACAGAGTAGGGGCACTTTTTGTGTAGATGGGCTAAAATGAGGTCTCCAACTCGAGGGTGAATTTCCCAAATTCCTGAAGCCACCACAGCAATGGGGAAAGCTGCCTCATGGTGAGAAGCTACTTCTTCTTCTCCTTGATTCTGGGGAAGAGGGGAGGGAAGTCAGTCTTCATCCCTTCAAACCATTTCTCAGAAAACCTTTTTGAAGTTTCATATTTAGCCTCTAATAAAAGCTCCATGACTATGTAGCCACCAACAGAAAGGCTCATAAGGCCTGTGCCCTTGGCTTCCACGGAGAAGGATGTCAATAAACTGCTGCTCAGGCACAACTCCAGGCACGAGGTATGAGGCTCCACAGATATTTTTGTTCCAGTCATTTTCAAATGTTTACAAACCACCCCCCTTTGTCTTCTGTGAGCTATTTTTTTTGCATATATTTTTGTCAATGCAGGAACATTGTTCAAGTAAGTTTCAAACAGTTCAAATGCAGCAAAAAATAACAGAAAAATACTGCCACCTTCAAAAAAAAAAACCATTTCAATAGCACTTTCTTTTCTGGGAGGTGGTAACTTATACATCAGGAACTGAAGCTTTCTTGTGGGAGCTTAGCCATGTTTTATTCCCCTATTCTGCCAATATGCAGGGGTTTGAGCACATGTACAGTTTTGTGCTGGATCATAAACTATCTATCAGTTTTCTACCAACAGTGCACCTAACTATTTAAGAATGTGCAACATATAGCCTTGGAATTCAGAATAGTTCTGCCTTGTAGAAAAGTTGAAGCATGGGAGAGCACAGAAGGGAAAGA